ACTGTGGACTAACGGCCCGTCCACACAGCAGTGTTAAAAAACGCTTCTCTGCCCATTGACTTTGAATGGGGGTGACGTCACGTTGATTCGCTTTTCGCCGAACTGCATTGTGGGGAAGCAAAGCGAAGATTTCCAGGATTTCCAGGATTTTCAGGATTCAAAAGTTGAGCAATGTTCAACTTTTCAAGCTGAGCTGGAAGCGTCAGCCAATCAAATCCCGTTTATGCAAATCTGACAGTACAAGCGCTAGCCAATCAAACCGCGTGCAAGCTGGGAGAGACCGCAGTTCATTTCCTCATATTCCAAACGAGAAATTACGGTAGCAAATCACCCGGTTCTATACGACCAGTAACTATTTACCGGGATACAAACCGGAGGAACCAGGCAGGTGGCAGAGACAGTGGGTGAAACTGGTAGGTTTTCGCCTGTTTGGGGAGTTTATATATATATATATTGCTCGCATAAAATCCCTGGGGTTTTTTGCTTTGTATGTCGGGGCGGGAGATTCATGTGATTGGTTGTTGGTCGCGTTGCTCGCAAAACATCCCCAAGCTTTCAGACACGCCCAGCTCCAAGATTTTCAAGATTTTTTTAACGCTGCTGTGTGGACGGGCCGTCAGTGTTACCGTATGAAAAATCATTTGTTAAGCATTTTAAAGACAAACCTTTCAAAGTCAAAGTCAATGGAGGAGAACCGTGATTGCAGGATGGCCCAAACTCCCCAGAAGAAGTTGGATGCCTGGTGGAAGAGAAAGGAAAATGTTCAGTACAATACTTCATCTTGTCTCTAGAGGAATGGCAGCAGCAACATAGGACGGACATGCAATCGTTTGAAGATCCGATTAAATCTTCAAACGCACGCTTCTTCTTGCCCCCTGCAGGCGGGTCACAGTGGGGGCAGAAGTCTTCAGCAGGGCAAACACTCTGGATTGGAGACAACTAATTCAATGACAGACTTATTGATTCCATGCCGCTAGTCCATAATACTCATCTGGGACTGGAATGTGTTTCAGAAGTGTATAATCTAGATTATGGGAGAGAAAGTCCAGAAGACCCAATTCAACTTTGAGTGTTGAGACCTAAACAGGTCACAATGTGCTCTTTATTAAATATAATGGCAATACAATGACAGAGTGATGATACTTACGGTAAGAAGAATTATGAATAAATCATAAAATATGAATTTATTTGTTCAAACAAGTGTGCTTCAACTGTAAAATGTTGCACTTTCATTGAACTTTTACAGTTCCTAAAAAAAATATTTTCTACGTTTTTGTCCTCTTATTGTAGAGGACACAATGGTCATTCACATTTATATTCTGTGCCTCTACTGTGCCTGTGTACTTGCTTTAATGTTCAAAACGTCCTTAGCCTTTCACGTACAATGTGTTGGAGCTCTAGCCAATCGAAGTGCGGGTGTTACATAGTGATGTCACTATGATATGGAAGTAAACAAATGGAGTCCAATGGAGGC